TTTTATATGAAAAGGATGTTTGTAAATCATAATGTCAGCTCATTTTGTATATCACATTGTAAAACCCAATGGTAATTCAGTTGGATAAGATATCCAGTGGGCTGAGATATAAAGGGGAATGATTTAAAACTTGTGGGCATCTAAATAAACTCCTATGTACAGATTGCTTTCCCTTAGTTTTATTAGCAGGGTTATAAAACACTGATCAAAAAAGGATGTTTGTAAATCATAATGTCAGCTCATTTTGTATATCACATTGTAAAACCCAATGGTAATTCAGTTGGATAAGATATCCAGTGGGCTGAGATATAAAGGGGAATGATTTAAAACTTGTGGGCATCTAAATAAACTCCTATGTACAGATTGCTTTCCCTTAGTTTTATTAGCAGGGTTATAAAACACTGATCAAAGTCCTTTCCAGCTTGAACTCATGACGTTGCAAAAAGGAGAAAGTGTTTGCCCAGAGTTGTAGCAACAGAGTTGTAAAAAATATTTCCTTTATACTTAAACAAAATCATATATTCTAGTCTGTCATACTGACCAGTTTCTGAAGCTGAAGCTCTGTGAATGGGATTAAAGACAGTTCAGGGTCTGAAAATCACTTTTTTTCCATTTACCTTGTAACAGTGAAGTCCTTTCCCAGGATGCTCTCTGCAAACTCCAGACCTTGTTGGGATCATATTCAACAGGAGCACAGAAATTCACATTTTTTCCACTGCACAGACCAATTTTCTCCCAGAATGCAAATGCAGATTAATTCAGTAAAACCCTTTCAAAGCATTTTATACAGCATTATGTGTCATTATCGCCAGAGTGATACAGCTTGAATTGTTTACACAAAGTCAAAATATTGACACAGACCTGTTTGTTTGTGTTGCATTTTAAGCAGTTGTCTTGACTGTGATGAACTTTTCCTTATGAAGCAATTTGATCACTAGTCACATCACCTTCAGAGTACTTGGAAGCCTCAGCCCCAGCTCAAAGAGCACATTAAGGAGGAAAATTTCATTCCCTGTGTTCCTGTATGACCAAGGTAAGAACTTTAAAAACTTCTTTCTTGATTAAATTCCTTATTCACTATAAACCTATGGTCACTACAGTGAATATGCTGCAAAAGTAATGTTAATTAGAAGAATTTAAGAACTTTCTCCTCCTTGTTTGTGAGATGGACCTTCTCTCTGCTCAGAAGAACATGTGTATATATATATGTATATAATATATATAGTATTAACTTGAGGTGGACTACCACTATAACTTCAATGAAAGGAACTTTCCTGCTAGTTAAGGGACTTGGTCAAAGCTCTTGCTTATAAGCAACTGGAATTTTGTAGCTCTTTCTACTTATCTGTCCTGTAAAGAAGCATTTTCTCTGTTAGCCTTATGATGGGAACAAAAAAAGAGTGAGAAACAGAAAATGAAAATTCCAGCTCTGCTAAAATGTCTTTGCCCTCCTCCTTTTGGCAAAAAGCTCAGCCTAGGTACTAAGCCAGAGCCTTGTATTGTGAGGAAAATAACTTCTCAGCTCTGCTCTGTGTGTTTGCAAACTCATCTACTGAACTAAAGTGCAAATGTTCCTTTGTAGTGGTCCCTAGAGGCTTGGACAACACTGAGCCATACCAGTTACCATTAAAGGCCATAGAAAAGTCCAACTATTCCCCACAAATGCTGAATAATATCAGCCTAACTCACAGGAATGTGTGGGATTTATTAATGCCTCTGTGTTACCTCAGAGACCTAAATAACAAGTGTCTTCCAGTAACTTATCTTCCCCCAAGAGCAGTCAGTGAGTTTTCAGGTATAATCATGTACAAGATTTAATTAATAACATCTTTTCAATCTGATTGCAATGACAACCAAAATATCATCATCTTTTTTCTTTTTTTTTTTTTTTTCCTGTGGCAGATAATAATGTTTTACAAAACAAAAGGTAAAATGTCAGGACTGATCACACAAATGGTAGAGTCAATTGTAACAGAATTAAATCATAACTCCTACGAGCAATATGGGAATGTCTCACATCTAATGGTACTTACATAATCATCATTAATGAGGGGATTTTAAAAGGGCCCCATGATACAGTTTGATGTAAAATTTTAAGTGAGTGTTGTGATAAGCCATAATTGTTTGAGGAATATATTCTGCCAGCAGAAAAATGTACCTGCCAACAAGCTTTTCTTCCTCTTAAGGTACATCTTTGGTGCTCATTGAAATTTAAACTGGTGTAAGAAAAACTCACGGTGGTATACATTTTAAAAAAAACCCCGGGGGGTAAAATTTTTAAAAAAAAAAAAAAAAAAAAAAGGAAAGTATCCAATCTAGGGTATCCAATTCTTTTCTGGTACTGGCAGAAATCAGGAATAATTCTCCTTCAGCTGTCACTGACCTCAGAGGTGCTATTGAGGTGCTGATATTGCATGTAATCTGCAAATATTACTTGCAGGTACTAACAGGATTATTTCTTGCTCCTAGCATCTGTGGACAGTTCCCCATACCCAAGTTATGTTTATCTGAGAAGGGTGTATATCAATATGCTGATTAAAAGGGTCAAATTCAGAGTCTTTTTAATGAAACCATCATCAGGAGATTGACAACATATAGACACATGATGTCAAAAATCATGGCCAGTCAAAAAAAAAAAAAAAGCAAACAAACAAACCAACCAAACTAAACCAAAATAAGGTCTCTAAAATCATCTATTTGTCATTTAAATCCTTTACTGCTACTTAAGCAGTGCAGTGTGAGGCTGCACTGAATTCTGATGGGTGGATTTCTGACTGGGAGCCAAATCTTTGCTTCAGCAGTGCCTTACACTTGAGGTTTTTTTTATTCCTAAATTTGTACATGAGATTGTTTCATTTAAGTGTTTTGACTGGAATTGAGTGGTTTTAAGAAGGAAGCCTTATTATGTTCTCTTTGAGAGAGATCTGGAGTGATTGAGGCTTGTGCCTTTACCCTGATGGGGAGAAACCACTTTGGGAGAAGCCACAGAATTACCTGACCAGAACAGTTGGAAATGTGGTTACAGCCAGGGGTTCTACAGAGCTGGAGACTATTTTACAGCACAACAGATACAGAAACCCTGTGACTGTGGGTTCTGGTTGTCCTTTTCTCTTCTGGAATTTCTTTCAAACAACTAGGCATGTCATCTGTACACATTTACCTATCCCAAAGCTCTGTATTATTGAGTGCCTGTGTGGTTATCTGTGTACACATGTAGATCCACTTGGGTGAGGAAAGGCTTAGTGGCTCTGTAGCAGATCACACCATCACTCAAACACAAAGCAGAAACCAGGAGCTTATCATGATATTAAACCAGAGCTGAAAAATCCTGTTTTCTCATAATGCAGTTGATTGATTGCTGTTTGATTAACTCTAAATCTACTTTTCCTCTTGCAAGAATTGGAAATGTATTTGATATAATCCAGCACTTCTTTGCACTAGTTTTGACAGATTCTCTTTGACAGTATTAAATATGCAGATCTGGTTTCCTACCTGAATATTTTCCCAAACATTTGGGTGCTAGAATGTGTGGGCTTTGCTACTGTTGTGTCTCAAGACTCAAAGTAGGATCTCCTTACTCAATGTCTATGAAGTTAAAAAATCAGAGAATCACCAAAATATGTTTACCTCTATTAGCAGCAGTATGGCAGCAATTGTTTGTTTGTTCTTAATTGGTGAAGCTTGATTCCTCTGCTTCTTCCCAACCAAAATCAGGAAAAAATCTTTGGAAGGTGTCTTCTGGTGGTACCTTACAACTGTCAGAAATGCCAGGAATGATC